CTCTTTCGTACTTCGCTTCCTTCGTTGCCTAACCAACTTCATACATATATTGCAACTTACTTCCTGCTGCCTAATCAGTTTCATAAATACTATCCTTCAACTTGCTTCCTGTTGCCTAACCAACTTCATACATACTATATTGCAACTCACTTCCTGCTGCCTAACCAGCTTCATAAATACTATCCTTCAATTTGCTTCTTGCTGCTTAATGAGCTGCAGACATACTATCAACTCACTTCCTCATACCTAACCAATTTCATATATACTATCTATCAACTCATTTCTTGGTTTCTAACCAACTTTATACATATTATCTTTTAACACACGTCCTGCTGTCTAAACTTCATACTTATTATCTTTTAACTCACTTCCTGATGTCTAAACAGCTTCACACTTATTATCTTTTAACTCACTTTCCGATATCTAAACAACTTCACACTTACTATCTTTTAACTCACTTCCTGATGCCTCAACAGTTTCTTACATACTACATTTTAATATACTTCTTGGTAACAAACCAACTTCGTACATATTATCTTCCCACTCATTTCTTAATAATTAACCAACCTCATACATAATATCTCCTCACTTATTTCTTAATGCATAACCAATTTCACATGTACTATCTTTCAATTCTTTTCTTTGTCTTTGCTAGCTGCAGAATTTGCATACTGACTACTAGTTGAAATGATCTAAAATCTTATTCATTATATTAATACCTTCTCCTCTTCGTTACAATAAGTAGGTCTGAAAATAGGAACAAATAAACAGGAGTCCTATTACAGCGAGTAGCTCGACCAAAAGTGTACTTAGGTGAATCCTCAAACAACAATCGAGTCACTTCTCCTTTCTTTACCAACCATCGAGAGGATGAGATTAAAGGAATACCCTGTAACCAAAATACAATGTCAACTAAAATCTGTCTTATTTCTTCTTTAGGTATTGTTTATTCATAAAAATTTCAGTTTAGATACTTTTAGTTTTTTTAATAACCATGCTAAATTGTTTTAGGTGTCTTAAACTGATCAACAGACCCCCTCCTTCTAAAATATACTTTTTACACTAAGTACACCCAAGAAGTGGTGTTTGTGAGAGTCCTCATATCCTACCCTTGCTTGGTGTTGTTTGTGCATTAATTCTGTAAAGAAATACCTTAGTATTGTGATTGGAGTACCACTGGATCTATCCCCTACTGAGTTATTTGGGAATTATATACTACAAAGTACTACCTTAGAGTTGTGTTGGGAGTGCTGCTGGACCTCATACCTCTGCTTAGTGTTTTATTTGAGCATTATATACTGCAGAGTAGTACCTTACTACTGTGCTACATTTATACCTTCCAATGGACATAATACTTATTTTTATTCATATATTTTAAATTTTTAAGACATCAGGTTATGATATTGAATGAAGTATTGAGATAATTCATCTGAAGTTGTACTTGTACTTGATCAAGAAGAAAAGGGTTATCTAATAGAAAACAAAATAAAAAACTTCTGTTCTAAGATATCTAACTTTACATGTTACATTCAGTAAATATCTTACTATCAAATGTGGTATTCCTACAGGGGGTTAATCACATTACAATGTTCCAAGTCATGTGTTGTCCTTGAAGTTGCTTCCTTCATTGTTGGTTATGCTCAAACTAATGATACTTGTTATTTACATGATGTACTTAGATTATAAAAGATATTTCAATTAAGATTATTTGCTATTAAGGGTAAAGCTACACAATGGGTTATCTGTGCTGTGTCTACCATGAATATGGAAGCCCAGTTTTTAGTGTTATAAGCCCATTGATTTACTGCTGAGCCACTGAGGTCAAAGATTTTAAGATGCCAAACAGAAAATTAGCTTAAAAATAACATTAGAAAATATTGGGAAAAACTAGTATATTGGATTGTAGGGTGGTTGGATGAGCAAAAGCAAAATGTTATTACTAATGGAGTCCAGTGAAACATGACTTTTGTTACTAGTAAGGTGCATCCTGGATGAGTGCAAGGGGCTTTGATATTCTTCATTACATTAATGACATTGATATGAGCATAACTAGGACATTATTAGTTTGCTGCTTACAACAGTTCTTGAATATTTCTAGCTGTGTTGAGGATGTTAGGTGCTACAGAATGAATTGGATCAATTGGTAAGTTTGAAAAATATTTGACAAATTGCCTTTAATTATAAGTGGAGATAATGCAGATAGGTTATCCTAATTTTAATCACATTTAATATAGATGAGAACAAAATCAATAAAAATAGCAAGACTGAAGAAAAAAAATCTTAGCATATTGGTAGATAAGTCACTCAATCCACTGAGGTAGTGATCTGTTTCTAGTAGTAAAATTAACATACTTTTCGAATGTATTTATAGCTGCAGTGATAACAAGTAAACAAGTCAAAAGAGGTTATTATGTTTTTTATTATACAAATCACCAGTTATTCTCTCTTAGAATATTGTGCACAGTTTTTGTTTCTTTATCTAAGAAGGACTACTAACTTACTGGAAAAGATTGAAAGCAGGGCTACAAGAATGATTCCAAGAATGGAATGAATATCTTATAAAGGTAGGATAAGAACTCTAATTATTTTCTCTTGGAAAAAAAAAAGAGTAAGAAGTAATCATATTTAAATTTAAAAGATTATTTGGGGGAACGATATGGGATAAAGACTTCTGATTTTTTTGTGCTGTATTCTGAAGACAATAAGAAAAAAGAGTACACAAGTTTAACACTTAGAGGTACATGCTAGACTCTAGCTAATACAGTCAAATTTATTTTTTTTATCAGAGAAATTATCTAATGGAATGACTTGTTGTCAACAGTAATAAAAGTTGGCACCTTACAAGAGCTTAAGAGTGAAGTAAATGATTTTCTGGAAAATAAAGAGTGAGTTTAATTTTTATTAATTTTTTCTTGCATATGGAAATGTAGGAACAACTTTGATCAACCAAATAGTTCCTGTTGTTCAGATGTTATGTTATGATTATTCACTATTGCTGTAAGTATCTTCAAAGAATGGTAAAGACAACTTTAGACCATGCCTTAACAAACTTTCCACAAACTCTTTACAGTGTAACAGTACACAAGTCCATTGGAACTGAATCAGAGAAACAGATAGATTTGCAGTAAAATGGGACTGCTGTAAATGTTAGCCATCTTCAGCTACAAATTCACCTTTATTATCTTGTTAACTGTATTATAAGTTGTGGCAAACTTCATCATAATAGTATTTTTGGGTTCGAAAATTGTTCTGTTAGAACTATAGCCCTTATTTTGCAGATGAAGCATCACTTCTGATTGGTTTGGGGTGTGATTTTGAAATTCATTGATATCCTAAATTCTCATCTGTGTTAACTTTTTTACTTCCATGGAAAACATCAGGGCCATAGAAAATGGTAAGGCTAGTCAGGCCATGGCCTGACCACTTTTTTATGGCATGTATAGCTACAGTTTATGTATTAAAACTTGCTTCTTTTAATTTCCAAAATCTGTAGTTAAAATGGTTCAAGATATTATCTCGTAGCATTTCAAAATTTTTCTGGGGTGGGGCGTGCCTCCAGGTCCCCTAGAAATGGCAATGGCCTGAGTACTCCAAAATCGCTTCCTAAAGTAATAAACACTGAAGACTCTTCTTGCAATTTTGTTTCATCTGGCTGCATGAATAATTTTTTTTTAAAAGATCTCAGATTCCATAAGTCATAGGTCTTCCTGGCTAGAACACTTTGCTTTTGCCACTATATTAATATAAACAGATTGTTTTAAAAAATGTGACTAACACTCCATATAATGCTATACTACTTTAAAAATAATAAGCAATAAGAAAATAATAATTCTAAAAAATGAAAACCTTATAATTAGTCAGAACTTTCTGCATTTTTCATACTCACCTTACAAAGCTTGAAATCCAACTGACGACTTAAATGCAACACCTCTTCTATTCTCTCCATTTTTCTTGCACTTTCATTACATTCAGATACAACCTAACAAGGAAACAAATCAAAATGAAGTATATTGTTAAGTAAAACTAAATCTATTAAAGTGGTTAATATTCAGTAAATATATTACTACTTAGACAGTATTAGCATCATTCCTTTTAATGGCCTTTTCTGAAATATCCACAAAAGTTGTAGACTCATACACAGTACTAACATAAGAAGTAGTGTAGGGATCTGCTACTCAGATAATAACATCATTATTAATAAATGAAATTACTGTAAACCCCAGACAACCTAACAAAGTTTTTGTTCACTCAACATTTCAACTTTAACCTTTTGTCAGTACATAACTTTCTATGATGAATGCTCTATCATTCAAATTAAGAACCATTATATTCTAAAAATTAAACCATATACTACAGCATGTAATCACTTCTACCTTTATAAGGCTCAAAGCACACACATAAACAATATAATATAAACATTACTTTAAACAAAGAAAGACCACCTTAAAAAGTAATAGTCTATATGGGTCATTAATTGAAGTTCAGCAAATTGAGTAAGCATTTTTTTGTAAATTTGTTGGTAAGCTCAAAGCTACAAAAAAAGAACTATCTGTGCTGTGCCTACCATGAGCATTGAAATCCAATTTTTAGTGTTATAAGCCTTCAGACTTACTGCTGAGCCTTTGGAGAGCTAACTGAGTAAGTAATGTTTAAGTTATTATATACAATATAATCTTTGTTATTGATATCCAGAACCATAAGTTTAGTTAATATTTGATTAAATTTACAGATTACTGCTGGAAAACACACTGTTATATTACAATGCAATTTACTTATATTCATCCATACCTTTTAAAGAAGCAATAATAGCTATCATTGAACTCATATAAGAAAATCTGGATACAACTGATCTTCTGGGATTATCAGTTGATTTTAATGGAAGCAGTCCATTATTGTATTCTGTGTGTTACTTTTGATTTGGAACTGATATCTATCAACAAGTCCAAAGTATTGCCAAGTAATGGAACATGTAGTCATATTACACGATACTCTTAACAAGCTACACCCTAAAATTAAATCCCCTCTTCAAACCTCAGACAATATAATATGTATTTTAATGTATTTTTTTAACATTCTGCTAACGTTGAAACATAGTAAACTACAAATTTCTACATAGAAAAATCATAAGAAAGTAACAATTCTAATCTTTCAGTTACACCATCTTCCCACTATAAGGAAAGGAATGATTATGGGACTATTATTTAGGATATACAGAAGTGTTCAAACATAAACACATGGTATAAGAAAAAGGCTGCACTTAGATAGATTATATAAAATGACTACCTGCATACATACATAACACCAATTTTTAACAATTAGAAGAAACACACTTAATAAATAACAAGAAAAACAAAAACATAGGGTATCAGAATTCTCCAGATACATAGGTGATACCATGTACCAGCAATGAACTGACAAAACAACTGTGGAAAGTTGTGAAAAACCTAGTATCTCAATTAGAATCTTACAGAAACTATGCGTAACTTTAAAACAGACTCATACTCGATCTACTTTCATGCCCAACACATACTGAAAAATAAAAAATTGACCTGTCAGTTCCTCAAATATGAAATGGTAGTAATTAATAAGAAATATCATACTATTTTAAGCTATATCTTTAATATTTTAATTTAGCTGTTTACTAGAAAAGCTTCTAATCATAATGATGATGTAATATTTAGAAAGTTTATAATGATGTAATAACTGAGAAGGTCCTTGTGCTATGTGGAAGTAGGGATTCATTTTAAATATATTCAAATCAGTGAAGCACTGGGTTAATGAGTTGCTTGTGAATGAAAATTTAGTGAAATATTTAATGAATGATACAGTTCAGTGTTTGTAATGAAAGTTATTGCATCTGTTAAGTTACTTGATCAACTATCAAATAAATTCTGTACCTGTAAGAAAGTTTATTTGTAAGTTAGACATAGTACCAATAGCAAGGAATTTTCGTTGAAATGTTATTTGTGCACTTAGATCTACAACTAAAAGTGAAAGTAGTCTGCAGCAAATATTAAGGAAGAAACAAACTAATTTATTATTGTTATGTAAAATGGACATGATGCTATTTTTACAAAATAATCCAAAAGAACAAGTCCACCAACAGAACATTTTACAAATTTGGTGTTTACAAATTATTTTGGTAAAAATAAAATAAAGCTAACTAAAATTCAACATCACACCCCTATCATGGAGCAAGATTAAAACTTTACTAGAAATGGTGAAACACTTAAAAAATGTGAAGAAGAAAGAGACAGAAAATCTCAAGAACAAGACAGGAAATTAAAAGAAGACCAAAAAGAAATTTATAGAAAATTCAAAGAATATCAATAGCTAATAGTTAGGAATTTAAGAAAAGAGCTAAAAGGAAGAGATATAATACTTAAAAGAGAATTAAGAAAAAATAAATCTGATTGAAGACATGATCAGTGAAGCTTTGGAGATGTATAAAGGAATTACAACAACAAATTTGAAGTACAAAATCACCTATAATATACAGAGGGATAACAGAAAGATAAATGAGGTAGAAAAAACAAATGACAGGATAAAATATTGGGAAAAAGAATTAGTAAATTGAAAATTAGACCAGCTGTTACCTCTTTCTGCATCCACACTGTCAGAATTTGAAATATATATTTTTATTTTTTACTAATTGTCAAAATAAAAAGGATTTTATTCATGCTTCTTAATAGTATAAATATATACTGTTAATGGCTGGAGACGGCTTGAATGGGTAATGAAGAAAAACTTTAATAAACTTATATTAAAGTTTTTCTT